GTTCACCAGTAGGCCATTCCCATTCAGTTCCCACGACTACACCATATGCACAGTCCCCCAAACCTTTCTGTCTTCAAGCTTCTCTAAATCGTGCTTCCTTTGGTATACGCATCACGCTTATGGCCCTTGTCTCATCCGTAGATCTCCCATGAACTAAGTGGTACCATACAACCACTCTTTTACTACCTTGCTTCTTTGAGCAGCTCATGACTATGGTGCAACATATGGTGTCTGCCTCCAGGGTTGGTTGCCTGGACTGTATCTGCTTAGGCCATCTGTATTCCCATGTAACATCCTGGTTGGTTGAGAATGATGAGACTATACTCTCTAAATGTCTTCAGCCACCTGCCCTCGACCAGTGGTAGCGGCATGAAATTTTGCAAGGGGGTGAGTGGCGAGATCTGCTCACCATCTGTGCCCCATAGGCGTGAGTTGGTCGCGCATTTTTGGGGGGCATCCCCCATGGTGCCGTCTCTGTCAACGCACTTCGAGACATCACCCTTCAAAGCAGCATGGTCAGTCCACACTGTAAATACCGCCCATAGTGCCACTGCAGTCTGAATGTGCCAATACATCACAGTCTCCACGGGCTTGTCTTTATCTGGTGTCACAATGCGTCTTAGATATCTTTAGAGCTATCTTTTTACTCCTGCAATTCTCAAACATTCAATGGCTTCTCTGGACCCCTTCTTCCATAGTGCTTCTGAACTCAATTATATCAACATGATATCGTACCACAGTCTTCCACAGAAATTCAACCATCACACTCGCCATCAATCTTTTTAACATGAGGGCACATTAGTTAAACAATAAGGCATGACATTCCAGCTTTATAGCAAACTGCATCTTCACTTAGTTAAGTCACCAACACAGAAGTGGACAGAACCATCCTTTTTTCAGACAAGGACTATTGGTGAAGCCCATGGCAAAGATGACGATTGTGTGATGGCTTAATTATCGTGTTCTTAAACTTTACGTCAGGTACCAGGGATCATTACGTTCGCAATCTGTTCGACCAAGCAAAAACCACACAAAGATGGAATTCTTGTCAACTCCTAGTCTTAGTCGCCTATCAAGAACTCTCCAACACTCTCGCATGTAGCCAATCACATGAAGTACTTAACACGTCATATATATTTGATTATCGGGAAACCACACATACCAAACTGTCAGATTTAGTTCCAATCACTGATTTTAGTTCCAACCATGACGCCGCATGAGCCTAAATGATGACATGTTATGGAAAAGTGTTGAATGATATAAACTAGCACTTCACATGAAACTAGTTATCAAGTCATATCAGTGACCGATCTTTAGACACATAGAAATAAATCATGACAAGTGTATAACCCCAGTCTTCAACATGAACGCAGGAAATGCCATGCCGCTTGCTGGTCCCTCGGAGAGTAGAAAGAAACCCCTGCCCCAAGCATAATCCAAGCTACCGGCATGTACATGTCATTATATAAGGGATTGCAAGATCAATATTACAGATTTAATATTTACCGAAAACAAGAAGATACATTAATCTTTGTTTTTGTAAAATACCATTTGAACGGAATCCAGAAATGGGGACAGATGTACCTCTACGCATCCGTGCATGTATTACTTAACATGTCTGGCTCGATCATGTTCTAGTTAATTTGATGATACAATTCAAAATGATCGAATGGTGCCCATTTTTACTTTGCCAGTACCATCAAAGATGGAAAGGAAAGGTATATTAAGGGGAAAATTTCTGTTCGGTGTTATTGTTGTCGTTGTTAATAATTGTTATTGTGTGCACAATAACTTTACTAATTCTATTCCAAACTACATCAAACTTGGTCACCTTATTCATCAGTATAAAGTCTTCTCTAAGTATGAACAACAGATGTCCTGTATAAAAATATCGTGCAAAAATTGATAAAATCTGATAAAATATTTTGACTGTTTCTACTTGACTGATCACTGGTGATACGCATTTAAAGGTCACTGATCTCAGTGCAAATATGCATTGTTGTATGTGTTCAATGAAGCAAATCATTTATCTTGTAATAATATCGTTGGTAATGGTAATCTTCCAAATCCCATAATAATACTAGACTGGGTTTCAAAACCAACTCATGGAGATAGTTTTTGCACAGTCTGATACACATTTGCAAACCTACCTATAAATTTTTTACAGAAAACAAGATGTCAGAAAATCAATATAAGCACTCCTATGAACTGGGTGCCAAACTTTGATCAAGATCTGAAGCTAATAGAAAATCTGTTTAGTTCAAAGTTATCAAATCAAAAACAATACATAAAAAATACATATAAAGTAAAACGTTGCACATTTTGAAAAGAAAATTCACAGGAATTTGTTTCAGCTATTAGAACAAAATGATAGAGTTTTTATAATGCTAATTTAAAAACGCACTTCAAAAACAAAGATTGCAGTGTTTGAAGATGTAGATTCTCAGGAGGCAACAGTACAGTACTGTTGTCTTCTCTCTCCACTGGACACCAACTAACTATTAAAGTTGATTTGCATACAAAGCAGAGCTTGCAACATGATAGCTATTCATAGAGGGCGTTTTGTTTTTTACTTTTCAAACAATACAGTAGTCACATAATGAATATAATAAGGCTGTTCATGGTTGTCTCAGTGAATCATTATTTTTTGACAGACACCTGTACAAAATACTTGGGCAAAAGCCAGCTAAGATTTTCTGTTATCTTGCATGTTTTTCAAATCTATTCACGTCTAAATGCAGAACTTTTTTCTGAGATGAGGCATTTGTTTTATACTAAAATATCTGAATTACTTTGAATAAAGCTGGAAATTATGTCCCTTAAAATAATGAAACAAATTAGGCACCAATGTTTTTGTAAGATATTTACATCTGTCATTCGGTAGACTGCTTCTCCACTGTTGTTTCAATCCCACACCTTGTTTGTATTCAAAATTAATTATGACAATGCATATTCATATTGAAACAAACTATGATAAAGTGAATAATATTATATAACAAAGGGCAAGGTCACCAGAGTTTAGCTATGTTTTTTATTTGTAGCCTTTGTCGTGATAGTTTTATTGCTTTGACAGCATTTTTAACAGTCATTTCCCCCTACCTGTATGCCCCATGATGCACCGTGTTTCAAGGTTTAAATATTAGAAAGCATACAGTTATTTACTTCATAAGGTAGCTATATTAAATAATGACTTGCTTTAAATGTCAGAACTTTGGCCCACACATCTCTACTAAACTAAAAGTGAATCTCCAAGAATAGCCCGCTCCTACTCTGGGAATTATACTCAATGTTTTTGATAAATTAACAGTTATTTCACTAGACTAGTTTGTATGAACTATATTGTTGGTCCTCACTAGAATTAGTATTCTATATTCAACAGCCAAATCCTGTATATATGGATTCCAAGATATGACAAACAATATTTAATTCATACAAATAATGAGTAATAAGAACACTTCACTAATCAAAGAAACCATAAAGTACATCAAACAGTGTTACAACATAAGAAATACATTACCGGCATAAATAAACAATATATGCCATATTCTTACATATTGTAAATTGTCTTACTATTCACGGATAGTTTTATGTCCGCTCAACTATGTAAAAACTTGATTAACTCGTTAACCAAAAATGAAATGTCACATTATCTTTATGGTATTAATAAAGAATTCTATTCTATTCTATTCTATTCTATTCTATTCTATTCTATTCTATTCTATTCTATTCTATTCTATTCTATTCTATTCGGTTCTATTCTATTCTATTCTATTCTATTCTATTCTATTCTATTCTATTCTATTCTATTCACATTCTGGGCAATGTGATCCATAGTTTCACTATATATTATTCTCCAATATATTGTGGAAATATTTACGACAGTCATTAATGACTTGGGAGGGCATATGTATTGACTTTAAATACGCATACCAAATGAAATTGAAGCTCACTACGATTCATGCCATGACGCGCACGCCGTTATTAACATTTTCTTAACGTCGCTATAAATGGGAGATTTTCCCGCCATTTCATTGTCGCCACGGCATTTTGTGACTAAACGAAACCACTTAATACGCAGATATCAACATCGTAATGCGATATGAATTAAGTAAATGTTTGGCCGTCAGACAGTTGTCATTCGTGGACAGGCGGGCCTGAATTAAATATATAAATCCAGTATTATCAGAGGAACATTACTTCCAGTAATATGTATTTAAAACTCAACACTTACACGAATTATGAAATAAGAAACGTGGAAATAATGTTTAAAACTACAAATACCTTGCATTAAAAACCGAAAACACGCTCTATAGAGAATACGATTGGCTGTCATTTGCCGCAGCGGAATAACAAAATACATCATGTAAATGCGATTACCAAAAGATAAAATTTGTTTGCAATTGAATATTTTAAAATAGACTAAAATAGCATATCGATTAAGTTGTAAAACACGGTTTCTGAATTTATTTGGTCGTCATTTACCACGGTGAAATCAGAATGCAGCACTAGTACCTGGCGCCGCTATGTTGTGTACAAACAACACATCGATATAGAAAATATCGATTCAGTTCCATGGAATTTTTTTTTTTTTTTTTTTTTTGACTCATGGCAGTCACTTAATTCTTTTGGACAAAAAATATTCGTGAGACTGCAACAGGAAAAAAAACAAATTTCGAAAAAAAGAAATGAGTCGAATGAACATCATACCGCCACCGTGCGGTTGATGGGGTGGAAGTTATACGTTTGTTTTTATGGCTGCAATGCATTTTGTTTTGCGCGTGCGTGCGTCTTCTGTCCGGTCACGCGCTGGCATTGTTTGACAAGTTCTCATTGTTACATCACGTTATGAGCCGCGTTACAATAAACACTAACATCGTCACTTCAATCACTGATTGTATTAATAACAGAGTGTCATCTTTGTATTATCTATCACAACGCCAGGAAAACGGAATAGAGCAAGCATCTTTTGCGTCACGCTCCGCAGTAAACCGACAACCACCATGGATGGCATGAGTGAATACAGAAATAGCGTTGAATTCAAGAAAAGGGGAGAGTCATGGGTTCCTCACCGTCGAAAATCAGCTTTGGAGTCCTTAGGATACACCCTGGGAGAAACCATCGGGGAAGGGCAATATTCCAAAGTGAAGAAGGCCTACACTAAGGTGACCCAAAACTGTGTTGCCGTCAAACAGCTGAGTAAGCAACTTGCTCCTCGCGATATCGCTACCAAGTTTTTTAGCCGGGAATTCGCTTGCCTCAAGAAAGTCTGCGGTCACCCAAATATCGTAAGATTTATGTATTAAATATGTTTCTCTCTGTGTTTAGCAATTCTTTTTCTAAATTCGGAGAACAGTGTTTTCACAGACAATTTACAGTCATTTTGCAGATGGTACATAAATAACTATTGACTTCGGTTTGGAGGTTGTTTTTTTAACTTTGTCGGGAGCTCGTCAAAAGAACCGACGCTCCCGAACGAAGATGCTCTGAAATCAAAGGTTATTCATGCGTTATTCATTTTTTAAATCGGCAGATATGGGATTTCTAACAAGCGACGTAAATAGACCTATTTCTAAAATGACGAGATTAAAAATGCCAATGGAAAAGTGGTATATTTGCATAATATGTATATAACATTTCACGGAAAGAAAACTTTCAACTTTTTTTTATACACACACATACCTTCATTTGAAAGGTTATCCTGCACAGGATTTTGACTTGGCTTTTTTATTTAATTGAGTATCCACCAGGCCATGTAATATGCGAATATTCATGGGGATTATTAATAGAAACCGTTCGAGTCGTCTGTTTTATCGTAATCATGTCTCATGTTCGAGAACACTTCACTATTTCGAATTTTATGTGTTTTCACTTTATTAAAAAAAAAAAACTCGTAAGCAAGTCAAGGGCTAGTATAAAAAAAACATCATTCAATAAATACTATAACAGTTCATCCTGGCATTGCAGAAAACACAATACCATTTGAACCAAGTGTTGCCTCAAATCAAATATTGTAATCTTGATTGTTTTTATTCTACAGATTGCAGTTTACGATGCAGTGGAAACTGACAAGACCCTGTATTTTATCATGGAGTATGCCCCAAATGGTGATCTACTGGATTTCATCAATACCCATGGTATGTTATGTAATTTTATGAGGTTATCAACAAAAATCACTTGATATGTGTGCCGTCATAAGCTAGTGTTATGCAGCCAATGACACCATTAGTATCAACCAGATCTATCAATACCAACTCCAAATGTCAAAATGACGGAGAAATTATGTTTTTATGGAACTATACTTATAAATCATATTCTCATATGCTAATTAGGCATGATGTCTAAACATGTGTTGGTGATATTTTTTTCAAAATAAACTTTCAGTCATCACTGTTTACTCAATAATGAACAATGCTTCGCACATATATATTGCACAAAGTGAACTTTCACCCATTATGGGTTGGAGGGGAGTTCATTATTGTTATTATTTTGTTGCGTTACTACTGAATTTGCTGCCACTAAAAAGTAGAAAAATCCACAGTGAACAGTTTCACAGTCACAGCTGGCTCCTGAATCTGCATAATTTAAAATGTTTTTCTGGAAATTGTTTTCACAAACTAAGAGAGAAACTAGTTTTAATCCATCAAATATAATGGTATTTAAATTGTGAGTGAACGAGTGACTTGTGTGTGATGTGGAATAGCATTGTAGTGATCACTCAAGCAAATGGCACATCATGACTGATGTCTTGGTGTCCTCCATGGCCTTGCACAACGACACGCTAATATGTGTTCACATAGTCTACCCCGAATCACCACTGCAGATCGACTGGATCGATTGTGCATAGGAGTGCGTACACATACCAATGACATTTAACATGCATATCTTCATGTTTAGTTTGAATTATTAGCTTGTGATATTTCACACTAAACATCACAACTGTGAATATGTACTATGGTCATGTGATAACATTAAATGTTGGGTTTACTTATATTGACTACTCAATCATTACTTACTAATTTAATGAAAATCAATTACAATTTTCCATTGGCCTGAATGTTGTATGCATTCATTTGCTTTTGTGCAATTCATTCAAGTTTCAGATAATATCTCTTTCTTGTCATGTATGTATTATGTATTAGGTCACCTGGAGGAGGAAGAAGCCAGGACAGTCTTCAAGCAGCTGATTTCAGCAATTGCTTTTTGTCACCAGAAAGGTATTGCTCATCGAGATATCAAATGTGATAACATTTTGTTGGATGAAAAATATAATGTCAAATTGACAGGTAAGATAGTCGACAGATACTACAACTCAACCCAGAGAAATAATAAAAAAATGGTTTTCACCAATACACTGCAGTAAAGCATTGGAGTAAGAAAATCAAACAAAATAATTAAAGGGGAAAAAACATTTTTTTTTACATGTACTTCATATTACGATATGTGTGTAAAGATAGTGTAGTAGTGCTTCAATTTGGAGGTTATTATGACCTATTGTGATCAAATCCGAAACAAGTGCTTATTGATTGACCTAGTATGTGTATGCATTCGTCCATATCATATCTCACACATGGCTTGGATCAAGTTTAAACTTCACACATTCATCGGGCATCAGGCGTCAAACGATTGCAGTTCCATGTTTTATACATGTTAGTCTACATTATGTGCCTCGCTTCAGTAATCATGTAATATCTCATGCTTATAATACTAATGGGGACATATATCATTGATAATGACTTGTTAATAAAGTCTATCTAAAATCTTCAGTATCTTGACAAATTTATTTATACATGTATATTCTAAGTTTGTTTCTTTGCGTCATCTTGATAGATTTTGGATTCAGTACATTGATGCCACGCAGCGGTTTCATGCAGACTCACTGCGGTTCATACGTGTACACCGCACCTGAGATTTTAGAAGGTGTCAAGTATGATGGTCAGAAAGCCGATATATGGAGTATGGGTAAGACATCGTCAATAATTTGAACCGTATATGTCATTGCTACAGAGAATTATACCAAATTTGACATTATTGCCAACAGTACCTTGTTACAAACAGTTTTATTGGATATAAACTTTTGTTTTATCAAGAGGATCCAGAGAAGTATAAAAACTATGAAGATTAAAATTACCTTGCTATTTTATTTATTTATTTTTTGTGTTTTTAAAAACAGGTGTTGTTTTATACTCTATGCTGTGCGGACGTCTGCCCTTCAAGGATACTGATCTCACCGTGTTGTTGGCGTCCATGCGAGAAAGAGTACATTTCCATAATAGAGTGTCTAAAGGTGATATTAGTGTTAATATTATCATTGAATCACAAAAACATATTTTGATCTTCAAAAAAATTTCCCAAGTTATGTCTGATTGCATAATTAATGTCTACTTCGATACATATGCCACTTGCCAGGCATGTTGTCTGTTTCGTAAATTGGCGTAAGTGTAAAGAATCACATTTTCATTTATGTGCATACATAGTGTATGGTTGGTATTACTCATTGAAAAATACTAAAAGCATGTATTTTGTCATCTATATGCCATGAAATTTGAATACTAAATTTAGAAGTAGTAAATTCTGACCCCTGAAAATGTATTAGAATGCCAGTTTACACAAATAAAAGACAAAATCCATGTAGAAATCATTACATAAAGCAATATAGTGAAAATTGGGGTATTATGTTTTCAGAATTATCACACTACTTGTACTACCCGGTAGATGTTTTTAAAATACGTAGTAGTAGTAGTATAATCCAGGAAAAGATGTTTGGAGAATTAGAAATGTACACATAGCTTTGTGATATAAAAAGCTATTTTGTAGCATATTTCTCGTGTGTGCACATTGTAACAAGGTTATAAACGGTATGCTCTCATGTTTGGTAGTGGATATCAGCAAATAAGCATATTTGGGGAAGAGAGGTCTTACTGGTATATTATCTGATACCAAATACCCTCGCTTGCTGTTTACAACCTCTAAATAGATAATAATTACATACATGTTAATAAGAATATATTTTCATAACTTTTTTAAAAATAACAATTCTTTGTCTTCCTCAGATTGCCGCGATATTGTACGTGCTATGTTGACACTTGACCCTGATCGAAGAATAACATTGGAACAATTAGTATCTATGGACTGGTTGACTCAACCAATTGACAGGTCTACACTGTCCCATGGGTCTCCTGCTGCTTCTCTTTTATCTATTGGTAGGTATTTTTGATTTTAAAATAAATAAGTCTTGAAGTTTTCACTCTTGGGTCGCGATGGTCAGCATAATACACAATAAACATGAATTCCTATTCATATGCATTCAGTTGAAATGTAAGCGATAAAATGGTGATGTAAAAATGTGAAATTCACAACTCTTGCTATTATTGTGTCATCATATTTTTCTTTGACGACAGGTTCCACTGATAGTGTCATTGTTGCCATGACTAATTTGAATGCGGAGCATGGATTGTCATGTTCCCAGCATGTCTACAAGGGTGCTAAGCCAACACTTGTCAGTGATGTACTGAAAGCAGTGGCAGTCAGACACAGGTAAGTTGATGAAATAGACATAACATACTTTTCTGTCAAAAACAAAATAAATTTTTATAACCAATTTTTATCTCATATATCATACTTTATTGTTTTCCAGTGCTGGTGAGTGTCAGGAACAGCTGTTCCCCCAGCATGTCAGCTCCCATGTGTCAAAGACTGGACTCGTTGGACCTGCTGCACGGCGTATTAGTGTCCAGATCAGCCAGCAACAATGTAAGTTACACAAAAGCTACCATATTTCTCAGATTCTTACCCAGTTGTATATGTTTTTAACATTGTTTACATATAAATTGATATATAATATCATCGAACAATGCAACTACATTAGTCAGTCAGTCCGACCATAGTCCCTGCACCTGTGTACACGTATATAGCTAGGTGCTGATGACTTGAACTTCACATGGTATTCCAGGATCATATACCAACTTATAGTGCTACTATTTATTTCATCAAGGTAATTGTATTACTCGTTGTGTATCATACATACATACATACATCTGTGTTTCATTAAATTGAAACTGTATTGATCCACACAACTATTTTGACTTTTCTTGTTCTTTTTCCACAGTAAACCATAGAGTACATCATGTTGCACCTGTCGCTAAGGGCAATCAGCTTCGTCGAATGAGCCTTGGAATTGGAGTTGTTCAGACCCCACAGGAATGTAAAGCTGCTCTGCGTCGTGGAAGCGTGGTTACTGGTAACTCCCAGATCCACATGGCACCTGCAGCTCTAATGGACTCCGTCACTCGTTTGCGAGAAAACCAAATTGAGAAGGAAAGGCAACATCTTCGCTTCAGCCTCTCATCTAAGGCTGCTAAATCCGCCGGAGGTAAACGTAAGAAGGATGCTGAATGCACACGTAGAACGTCCTTGGTCACGGATGCAATGAAAGCTGGTACAATTGGAACAGAGCATGAGCAGGCTGAGAGGGAACTGATTGCTAGATTCATGACAAAGTTGGCTCACTGTGGTTACTATGAATAATTTCTTGATTCATGAGTTGGATCACATATGTGACTTATACTATAATTAATTCCTTGTTCTAGAATTATTCATTTCAGTCTCTGAATGATTACCATAGTAATATATGAAATAAAGTATAATCTGTTGTCAATACATCATGTTTAATTGTCGTTACTTGTATTTTTAGGCCAAGTCCTTTTCAGTGAAATATTCTTTGTTTGTATTTGGCTGAATTAACTACCGGTTAATTGTTACCACATTTGAGGACACAAAATTATTTCTGGATTGGTCAATTTAAATTTAACATCAATTTGATTTATACCAGTGTATACATATTTATGAAACATTTATAACAATCCAAGCTTAATGCCGTTCACTATATCTTGGCCTAAGGAAAAAATGATGACATATTAAAAGTTTGTGTGTTTTTTGCCAAAAAATTACTGCATACTTTTTGGGGGAATGCCTGATGGCTGAGTGCAAGCCACACTGGGATGTGCAGCGAGGCAGTTTTGTACCATCATCGTCACCAGTTTCAATCACAATTTTGTGATACTTTCTTATTTATAGCATTATAGTGATAAGTATCACAAAACTGCCTGAATAATTGTGAAAAATGGAACTTAACTGTTACATAATAAAAACAAAAACTATTGTTTTCAACACAAACAACAGGTTAAAATTCAACAATCATGAAATCAGTAAGGGCATTCCCATTTACCTGGGCACAATAGTCACCCCACATAGAAATTGGTAGAACCCCGATCAGGATGAAAGCAGAAAGCTCAAATAAAATACTGGTACAGACTAAACACACTGCCAGAAAACCATGTACCGGTATTAGAGAGTTTAAGATTTGCGTACGTAACGGGAACGTACCGTGATGTTCTAATTGCGTTTGCGTTACGTTCTCGGG